TACCTTGTTTTATATGAATATAAATAATGCGACAGGCATTAAAAATATATCACAACATTACCTTTATATATACGATATCAGTACTTTTTATATGCTCATAACTCAATTTTAGACTTGAGGGAAATCTGTATTTTATGTAGCGATTAAATAAACAAAATAGAGACGGCAAGTTTATTATTTGTACACTTTCAAAGTAAGAATCACATTACATAAATCCTAGAATGTATAAAACATTATTGCCAAGGCGATCGAAGTAATTCCTGGCGATCAGTAGCGACATTCATCGAGTCGAGTGCAATTTCAAGATTCTCTAGACAATTGCTAATGCCCCTAGTAATATATGTTTAAATCTGGATTGTTCGGGATTTATACATGAAGTGGTTGTAATTCTCTTTTTATATTAGATAATACCTATACCTCTTGAATACAACATCTTATTAAATGTTAAGTACATAAATCAATACTGAAGTTCGTCAGTTATTGTACTTAATTTATCGTCTAAAGAGATTATAAATTGTTCATTAGAATATAATTTGCAAAATAAATAAAGTAAATAAATTTCTATAATATACATTTCAAATAACAAGATTAAAAGGTTAAAATCTATAGTTAGAACCTACTATTTTAATTAATGGAAAAAAATCATTTATAAGTAAATGATACAACTTAATTTTCGTAATATTTTAACTGTATGATTCAAAATGTTTGGATATTTGTTATCAATAATGTTTAAATTATAGCTTAAATTAATGATTTAGTCCTGAATCATGTAGACAAAACAACGAAGTAGCTAAAGTAATCTTTTAACTTTGTAATAATATAACAAATAACTGATAACATTCTAATAAAATGCCTTGTTAGATAGAACATTTACGCTCGTAATATATGGTCATGTCAAAAATTATATAGTATTTTTACACATATTTGTAAGTTATAACATCATACAACTTTCCGTAAAGTTTTATGTTTTTAGTGTACCTTTTCACCTTTAACCTTTAGTAATGTTTACGTATAAATATATTTTGTAACAATATATCATTGCCTACTATAACAGATATCCGACAGAAATCTTTCATTCACTACCTTGACACTGATTGTTTCAAAGTGACCTTTTGACCTACAACTGACCAAAATGGAATCATCGCATCGTGCCGATAGAGCTTTAGTAAATTACGTAACGTTCTATCGGGAATCGATGTCGCTGGCGTGCCTTCTAGTCTCAACGATCGTAGCTTCCCTAGCGCAAACGAATAATTAATCGGTCAACCGCCATACCTCGTTCTACTTTCCGAAAAATTGAGCACCTTATAGAACCGATGGAGGGAATCTTTTTTTAATAATATTCAATACAGATAACACAAAAAAAATCAAAGGTATAATTTTTTTCATAAATGAAAATTGTTATTAATTATTACGTACTAGTACATGTCTCACATATACAGAAAATATTCAGAATTATACTAACTAATTACTAAAACATTAAATATATTGTACAAAAGGCTAACTGAAAGCAAAAATAGCACGTCTCGTGATTTTTTTTTAAAACTTTTTATTTATCAACATCATTTCTTCAGCCATTATCCGTCCACTGCTGAACTAATTTTTTTGTTTACGTTCAATCGTTTAGAAAAACAATACATTATTTTCTCAGTGTGAGCATTTCTAGTAATTACTTGTATATTATTTCACATATATATATATTATTTCACATGTGTATATTATTTTACCAGAGGGAGACTTTGTACAAAAGTCGATTGATTGGGTACCTCTGTCCCATTCGTGTTTCAACCGTGAAGCAGTTGTGTTTGCATGGCTGTGTTTCGGTTTGAAAAGTGGGATATGGCGTGAATTTACTGGGTACAGAGGAATAACACCTAAGTCCTCAGGAATGGCAACGCATGGGGGGTATCATGGGCGAAACAGTATACTCTGTTATGTCCATGGTACTGCTCATGTCTATAGGCGACGGTTACCACTTTCCATCAGGTGGACCGTCAGCTTGATTGCCATTCTAAGTTGTATCAAAAAAATTTTTTATTTTATATTGGCGACGGTTACCACTTTCCATCAGGTGAGCCGTCGGCATGTTTGCCATTCTAAGTTACATAAAAAAACATACTCGCAGTTTAGGTGCCGATCGGTTAACACTAGACTCCGATCAGCGATCTAATTTACTTGAATATTCCTCGTTTAAAGGTGAAACACATGTCACAAAACACGCGTAAACAAAATGGCAGTCGGAGATTAAAAGTTGATATGGAATATAGCAGTGGCCAATTATTGAGGGTTGGCAGTCAGACACATGCTAATAGTAGAGGAATAAAACAAAATAATTATAATCTAATAACTAGTGATATGGACTTCCGCAAGATAATAATACCAGAAAAATATTTAAAAATTGTTTGTATTTCTAGTAAGTTTAATACTGTACTCTTCTAAAAGAAACAATAAAGCATTCTGTCTACTTTAAGATTTTGCTTCTGAAAAATTAAATTGTGAATAATAAAATTAATATGGAACCAATACAGGAATAAGCCCTTTTAGTTACAAAGGAATTATCAAAATTTGTTGTGAATATAACTAATATATATTATAACTAAAATATTTATTTCGCCTTGACTACTAGACACGGCTATTCATATACTGACTAGAACGAAAATTTTGTAATAGCGTACATTATAGTAATTTTCATGGTAGCCCTTTTTACTAAAGCCTAACAACTCTGTTTTCTTTGAAATAAGGCCAGTTGGTTGAAAAAAGGTTAAATATAGATATCGATAACAACTGTAGTTAATTGAAATAAAATACTTCCGAGGTTGACCTACTTTAATGACATCTATAAAACAGTTGTTTTTACCACCTCACGCCTTACTTCGTGTGAATGAAGAACCAGATTCCATTAATTATTTTAGGCTTAATTATTCTCCATGGGAGGAAGAGAATTGTTAGTAATTGGTACTAGTGACTAGTGGCAAAATATATAACTAGCAATGGCTAGCAATATACTTTGTCGGGTCAACCACCACACGGTAACTCTTAGAAATTGTCGTGATTTATACCTGGTGAAATCGTCTAGGTAGGCCAACTGATCTAATTTTATCCTCATTTACAATCATACATTACCATTCCATTTTCATTATCAAATTAAATTTCAGTGTGTTGGCGAAGTAGGAATGTAGTGTATGATCTTCTCAACCCTATGAAATCGTAAATTGTACTAAAGGAGAAATCACCACCAAAAACTAATAATAAAAAATAAAGAAAACTCAACGAAACATCTTGACTAGCGAAGTATTTTGGAATAAAAACAGTCTTAGTTATATCATAAATTGTCTTTGAGTTCCAAACTATCAATGAAAAAAAAAAGGTTATACTACCCCTATACTAAACAACTCTTAGTTCGTTTATTGCTAACACTTTATTTTACAATAATATTTTATATTACAAAATGACGACTTTAAAGATCGTTCAAAATGTCTTACTTCATTTTTTTATACGTTATATTAATATGTAGAAAATGCTTTAACCAATAAACAGACATACTAATGAATTTAAATGATACAAGTGTTTTTCTTTCAATTCATCGTAGTCGAAGATCGAATCTGCAAGTATTGACAGGTGAAGTTACTGTAACCAGTACATCATCATCAATTTTTCTAGGTCATTTTTTAAAGTTCTTCATAATTTGTATCGAAACAATATTTTTTCAAGTAATAAGTAAGAATTTTTTGCAATAATCTAGTTTGCTCGCTCGCTGGCGGCATGGCACCTGAGAAGCCTAACAAATCAAAGGCAATAATTGAGAGCGTAATAGCTCTATAACTACTTTCGTTCGAGGAGAAAATGGCATTTCTGGGAACACTCATAAATCAAATCTTTTAAAAACGATGTAATTTTAGCCAAGTACCATAAACAGGAGGCTGTGTGTACTTGTCATTGCCATTTCCTGTAATTGTTTATATTTATAATACATAAGTTTACTATTATAATCTTTTGGAGGAAACAATAAAGAGTATCTATCTAACTATTCATTTTTCGATTACGATATGCGCCTGTAATTCGTAGACTTGAAATACAGTTAATTACATATTAGCGGCCCGTCCTGGCGTCGCACGGGTGGACATTTTTATATTTTAAACAATGGTCATTAAGGCTGCACACGCGTAGGAAGCTTAAAAATGGAGTAACTTCTACCGTTTTCTCAACATTTCCCTTCACTGCTCTGCTCCTATTAATCGTAGCGTGATGAAAAGTATACTATAACCTGCCCAGGAGTATGAAGAATAATTGTACCAAGTTTCGTTAAAATCCGTTTAGTAGTTTTTGTTTCTATAACGAACAGAGACAGACAGACAGACACAAACATTTTCAGATTGCATTTTTGGCATCAGTATCGATCACTAATCACTTCCAGAAAGTTATTTTGGAAATATATTTCATGTACAGAATTGACCTCTCTACAGATTTATTATAAGTATAGATAGATATAGATAGATATCAAATCTAACATGAGTTTTACAATAAATAAAAGATGAGTTTTTTTCATTTGTTGATACTTTTTATAATAATAAATACGTAAACTTATTGTTCCAAAATAAAAATAAATACAAGAAAAGTTTCATACCATTAAAAGACCCCTGATTAAACATACATAGACCCACTATATATGAGTAATCTTTTTACTTGTAATTTATTAACGGTAATTATTATTTTGTTTTTTTTTTTTTGTAATTATGCTTATTGTATTTTTAAATATTTTTGTGCATACTTACTTCCTTATTTATGTTTTTTTATTATATAGTACAAAGATGGTGAATGTACAAAGGTGAATTATTCTAAATTTCATTTTTAAGTCTCCATTTAACACAAAATGTCTACTAAAACGTTCACAATACGTAATGAATAAGTGATGACATTACAAAAGAAAAAAACACTTTTAGTTCTTTGAAAAAAAAATAAACAACAATAACTATACTATAATGTATGCACACTCTGTTTACCTGTGTCATCTGATCCCGAGTAGTACAGGCCTAAAACAGAATTTAAAAATACTTTGTATAATGTTATTGCGATCGATATTTAATTTTGTTTTCGCCCAAAGGAACGGTGGGATATTATCATAGGACCAAGTGGAATATTTACGACACAAGGAGTGGTTGTATCACAGTAAAAGATATTTTAAACTTAGCAAAATTATATATATATATATATATATATATATATATATATATATATATATATATATATATATATATATATATATATATATATATATATATATATTTACCTCATTAGAATACAAAAATTAGCTTATAAAATAACCAAATTAGACACACAGGAGCAATGTTATTGTTGTGAATAAATTTTGATTGTGTTCTTAAATTATTAGTGTTATTAATAACATAAATTCTAATAACATTATTATTGGTAAATTTTGTCCTGTTACTGTTAATAGGACTAAATTTGGCAATATTAGAAAGCTTAGTGAGGTGAGTTATTATTTTTTATGCTTATTTATTTACAACATATAAATATTTCTATTACGAATTAAATAACTGATATAACATACTAACAATATATCAATACATAAAATGTGCATATGAATGAAAAATAATAGTGCCCATTTTACAAATTGCTGCCTTTATGATTTCCAAACATTCTTATGGAAAGCAATATTCTAAATAGCATTAACATGACAAAATTTACAATATTACAAATCCTGATATAGAAAGTAAGAAATTATAATATATCATCATCATTTCAAGACAGTACTTCTTATATTGAGTATAAAAATCTCTTCATAACAGGAAACTATAAGCCAACAATTACCAAGCTGGTCAAATGCCTTGGTATATGGTTTTATTTCAAGTTTTCTCTCTCTTGCGTGTACTGTAAGTACATCCATAATTGTTTCCTACAATAATTTCGCATCCAAAATTGTTATTTAAAAAAAGTATTGTTATGCGATAGTCTTAACATTTCTATTATTCATTAATAGATACTAAAATAACATGCTTGAGAACACTTAACAGTAATACTAAATTTGCAAACTGTTGCATTTACGATCCCTAAACATTCATATTTAAAATTAACAATCTAATAACATTGCTAAAACGTAAATACAATAACAATAACCACAACTTCATATCTAGTAAAGCCATTGAATACATTCACAGCGAGTGACAAGCAAAATTAAATTAAATTGTCAATTAAAGCTCATGCAAAATTATTTATCAAATGCAAATTTGATATTTGGTTGAAGAAAATTGAAATCTCTATTGACCTCACTCAATTATTGATACTCGAAGAGCTTTATATATAAGTACAGGTATAAATCACACAGAGCAAAATGTTCAACAATGAACTCTTTTAAATACGCTATTTTTGGAAAAAGAGATTTTTATTAATGTGGAATAGTGATATCAGTGTTATCAATACTTATCATTCAATCATCCATCCAGAAATCATCGTATTTATTATATTATTATTATACCAGCCGTCATCTTTCTACTACTGAACATACGAGGCTAGGTCAAAAAGTTCGCGGAATGAGGGAGAAGGGGGTTGAAATTAAACATGAAACTATTTTCCTTTTCAATATATTCTCCCTTAACCACATTTTTCGTATTTCTCAAATAATTTGTTTATACCATCAAAAAAAGGTTTATCTTTGCTGTCAAAATAGGTCGAAACTGCAGACTTGACTTCTTCATCATCGGCATATTTTTTTCCACGCAGCTTCTTTTTCATTTTTTGGAATAAATAATAGTCGCTAGGAGTCAAGACGGACTGTAAGGTAGGTGGTCTAATTTTTGAAACCCGCATCAGTGGATGGTAGGCGTCGCAACATGGCACGTATGGACGAGAGCGTTGTCGTGCAAAAGGAGCACACCTTTTGACAGCTTTCCTCTTATTTTTTCCTTGATAGCTCCTTTCAATCTGTTCAGTAAAGAAGCGTAGTACTATCACACCACCATCTTTATAATCGATCAACAAAATACCTTCTGTATCCCAAAAGATAGTCGCCATAATCTTTCCGGCCGATTGTAACACTTTAAACTGCTTCGGAGGAATTGTGCCTTTTTCATGGCACTGCATCGACTCTTTCTTTGACTCAGGTTCATAGTGGTGAACCCAGGTTTTATCTCCAGTAACAATTTGGGCCAAAACTTTTTCCCTACTCTCTCCACAGAGCTCCAAAAACAGGCGAGGACACTCAACACGCTCACTTTTTTAAGTGGCGTAAGCATTCTTGAAACCCATCTTGTACTGGCCTTAATCAAGACAAGATGTTAATGTAGAATATTTAAAACACTTGTTTCAGATACTCCAACGATAGCTACTAGCTGCTTCGTCTTCAGCCGGGTATCTTCTAATACAAGTTTTTCTACTTTTGCGACGATTTTCGGTGTGGTGGCCTCAATTGGCCGTCCGGAGGCCATCTTCAATAGACTCTCTTCCTTGTTTAAAGACTATGCCCCTTGTAAACCATGGTTTTACCAGGGGCAGAGTCCATATAAACTGCTAACAGCACTTGAAAAATCATCTGACAGGATTTTTCTTGCTTGGTGAAGAACTTAATAACGGCGCGGTGTTCAATTTTCTTCATATTCGATGACTTCTTCCTGATTCACTTGTTTGCAGGTCGATAACTCAAAAGTTAATGACCCGATTTGGTTCAAACTTGGTATATATACTCTCAATGAGGTGCTTAACAAGTGACTACCTGGATGAGTAAATGAACCCCCACCATTGAACCTCTCCATTCCGCGAACTTTTTAACCTCCCCTCGTAGGCCTTACCCATAAGGGCGTGTTTTCCCAGTAGTTGCCACGCCTGGTAGGCGAGTTGGCAACTACTGTCAGCCTTTAGTGATGTTTTAAGGGAGACACTGTTATTCATCTCTCTACTGTAAAGGTCCCTTAGTCGCCTCTTAAAAGAAAGAGGTGGCCTATTCTATGCCGTATTAATTGGGAATTCGTAGTTATTTCTTAGTGAATATGTCATGATGAGCTATATGATCTGACTTCATCTTCATATATCGTCTCTTACTAGTTCTCTAATAATATTTAACATAATAGCATAACTATGTATATAGGCAGAGTCACCATTCGTTTAATTTTCTAATATTTATATTTATAAAAGTGTAAATATTACGAAAAATTCAATACGTTTATAAAAATGTAAAAGTGAGTTTGTTTGAGCCTTAACACCTCAAGCAGTTGTTATGAAATTTAATATGTAAGTACTACTTTAGATAGACAAGGACACAGACTACTTTCTATCATGATCAATCAACAAACTAACAAGTCAAGTCGTAAGTTAGTCAACAAAAGAATAACAACAATCTTGAATTTTCAACTGTATTTTAAGACACTGCAGTTTAACATGCTGCCTTAAAGTATTCATTACTAAAAAATCTATCAGTTATCTATCTATAGTAAATTTTCTTTTTAGTCTAGCCCCCACTAGCATAGTGTTCATGTCAAGTGGTAGTGAATAAAAGATAATTTTATAAACTAACCTAGTTTCATTGTCATCAATATTAATAATTGTACAATAAAATTAATAATGGTTGAAATACAAAGAAGACCTTGATGTTATATTCCCCATATATCGGTACATATAATATATATAAAAGTCTAAATAAGTAAATATTACTCCTGTAGTTGACTATCAATAAGTAAGATTATTATAATTAAAACACAAAGTATTTCAAGATTTATTGAGATAGTAACACACAAGTAATATCCACAATATCTAACAACTCTAAATTTTATATATATTTTTTTATATTTACGTTTTTTTCATTGTATGAAATTAATAAGTTTATAAAATGATACATAGAAATATATATATATATATATATATATATATATATATATATATATATATATATATATATTATATTATATTATATTATTATATAATATTAATTAATTATTATATATATATATATATATATATATATATATATATATATATATATATATATATATATATATATATATATATATATATATATATATATATATATATATATATATATATATATATATATATATATATATATATATATATATATATATATATATATATATATATATATGGTTGATTTTGTATTTTATCAATTATAAAAGACTTTTGTGGGTAGAACAATGTACTATATTATGTTGAAAACTATTCGGAAACCTATTGGGAACAATATGAAAAGAAGAATTTTAACATTTGACGCTAAGTGTTTCTGCACTAGTGCACTCTCTGGCATTCCGCCAAGTATATATAATGGGCTTACAGATTCTGCTATGTCCATACAGACGTACTTGATTTGTAGGATTTATTGCATTGCGTCTAGACATATTATACTCCTACACATGTTTTCCTCACGTCTACGTTGATTACACGTCATTCAAGTTAGATACACTAGTGTATTATTACAATTATAAAAAAAAAAAAATCTTCTAAATTTTTAATTATAAAAAAAACAAAATTTCTTATAAAAAAATTATCAGCTCTGTTCCATTTTAATGTGATTTGTACATTTAATGTTCAAATTATCAGCTCTTTCGTCACGAGCAGTAATTTATTCAGCAAAAAATTGCAACATTGAACAGTGATGAAATTAATAAAATAATGTATAACAAAACGATATATAAATAAACTCTATTGATTTCAGAAAAAATATAAAAAATTCATTAGATTTCACAAAGATGTCATATAAAACAGATGAGTTGAAGCCCTCGACCTTATTGAACTTACTTAAAAATTCTACATTTATTTTAAAGCCTTATTCATATTCTATTTATTCGCTCCATTTTGCGGGTTGCTAGATAGTTTATGAGCGCTTCCAATGTTGCCTGACCTCAGGCCCCTAAATTTCCCCAGAATAGGTTTTTCAGATGAGCACAGGTATTGTTGATTACCATTATGGTATATAATAAAGATTGAGGCAGCGATATTTACTCTACAAATACAACTTAATATTTTATCATTATCAGCAGTTCATCCTCGCTGTTTCACAGCGGGTTCG